CGCTTAATTAATTTAAAGATGCCGTTTGTTGTTGTCGTCATGTCTCTGACAAAACCCACCCTCCCCGTCCCGCCGCCCCCCTCGCTGTCAAGTCGCATAAATTTTTGAGCAGTTATGAAGGCGTCGCAACAACAGAGAGAGAGAGAGAGGGGGTGAGTTGTGCCGCTTATAAATAGATTAATTAAAATCATCTTTAATTGTTTGATTACAAGACTGGCCCGAAAAAGCTGAAGGAAATTAAAAGGCAAGCGCAGAACGAGCTCACAATAGCTGCGCTTTATGCTATCCAGAGAGCAGGCTCAGCAGAGTGTTGTGCGAGTGTGTGCGAGTGTGTGTGCGAGTGTGTGTTGTGTGTGGGCAAAATGCGCAACATGTGAAATCCACATGCGGCAACGATTGCCACAACGGCAGCAGCAGCACGGTCCCTTAAGTTCTGAAGATTTCATTTGCGCTACAGATGTTCACTGATTGTACAACATAACTACACACACTCCAACACACACACACACACACACAGATACACAGACACACACACACAACGAAAAGTCACACGCAATTGAAGCAGCGGCATCTGGCAGAGATACACTTCAGCTTTTAGCTTCATCTTCAGGCGCGTCGCACAGCAACTGCCGCTGAATTTCGAGTGGCATTTGATTTTAGTGCGCACGAGTGTGCGTGTGCGTGTGTGTGTGCGTGTGTGTGTGCGTGTGTGTGTGTGTGTGTATCTGGAGTACTGCAGAGGCATAAAAATGATTGCTGCCAACGACTGAGTCAGTCAGTCATCAATTATTTTATAGAATGCTCACTTGTTTTCTGCTCCCCCCCGCTCCCCCCTCTTTGAGGGGGGGGCACAACTTTTGAAAGTTCTTTTCTTTTCTTGTCTTTTCACAGGAAGGGCTTCGGCGGCAGGCAGCCCGCAATAGTTGTGAAATTAAATTGAATGCGACGCCGATTATCCCACGCAATCTTTCATTCATTCATTCATGCATGACGGCTGTCTCCTGCCTCCTGCCGCCTCCTCCTCGGCAGCGAGTGCCTCTTGCGACTTACTCCTCCGCCAAAAAAAAAGTTGAGTGTAATCATGAAAAGTTCAGGCGGAAGAAGCTGCTGCTGCTGCTGCTGCTTCTTCTATTCGAGCATCCCTTGCTCAAACACACAATATAAGTTGATTATATGCACACGCAGAAAACTCTGCTATCTGGCCATAAATCTGAAGTCTGTCAGTCTGTCTGTCAGTCTCGTCTGTCAGTCTCGACTCTGCCGAAATCAGTGCAAACTTCGTTTTTTTATGTGTTTTGCGGTTCCAATAAATAAAATCCATTCGATTATAAAGTGCACACAGAATGAAAGGCCGCTGATAAGCGCTTTACACAATCCATTTGGCCTACTTCAGTTCATTAAAAATCTATTTAAACAACGAGCAATGTGCACGGCAGTGCACTCTGATAGACTGGCAGTTACCCTAGAAACTGGACTCTTTTGTATAATGTTTGCCAAATAACTCGTGTATTCAATAATTGTTTGCCTTGATGCTTTTGGAATCAGGAAATAATTTATTACTGATTGTTTATGCCCAAAATCATACTCATAGCTTGACAAATGTGGGATAATTATATACTATACTAGCGGGGTATAACCCGGCCTTGCCCGTGGCACGTATGTTATAAAATGTTCTCAAAAAAATTTGAAATGATTTTGAAACTGATCGGATGGTAAACAAAAACTTTCATAAAACCGTTTTCCGCCAATTTACCACTGTTGCGGGTGGAATTTCCCAAATCGCTGAAATACGTATTAATTAAGTTCTTATTTAGAGCTTTGAAAATAAGTTTGAAGCAAATCGGACACAACTTAAAACTTCGCCCAAAAAATCTTTAAATCGCATTCCCCCCGAAGAAGTTTGAATTCTGCGAAAAGTGTGAAACACGTCTCAAATGATTTTTCTTATAGATCTCTAGAAATGAATTTGAGCGCGAAACGTCACCCACCAAATCTTTGACCTCCATTAACGTCTTAACGTGCACCTACATCAAATAAGGTAGCTACAGTGAAAACTTCAGCTTCCTAGCTCTTACGGTTTGGGCTGTGCGTTGATCACCAATCAGTCAGTCAGTCAGTCAGTCAGTCAGTCAGTCAGTCAGTCAGGACAAACAGTTTTATATATAGAGATATAGAATTGAGCTCGACTCTAGTCTTTAGTCTCTGATATGGGTTGAGCCCGACTATATTGATTCGTCTGCCACTGCTGGAATATATACTCTCAAAGCATCAGATATACATAATATATATATATTTAAACCTGCTTTTGCAGTCACCTAACCATTTCTCCAGAAATGCCCTTCAGTTACAGGGTATCAAAATGTGCAAGCCTGCATCAATGCGCCAAAGTACATCACATGTCCGCCCGATAAGACAACAATTGGGGGCGAATGGGCGTGGCAACATTGTGAATCGGGAATTTAACGATTTCATGTGGCACATTTTGATTAATCTTTACAGTCTGCCGACAATTTTAATGGCCATCTCGATAATTATTAAGCACATAAATTTGCAGCAATTATCATTTTTTTGGCTTGCCAAATTTGCATGAATTTTAATCAGTCATGTAACAAACGAGAGGGATTTGTTTACAAAAAGCTTAACCGAAAATCTAATTTATTTAAGCAGACCAGCAAATATCAGATATATATATATAGAAAGATGTGTGTATATATATTAGATGGCCTCGTCAAACAAGAGTCTAGACAAATCGAAAACAAAACCAACTTCAATATTCGGCTATAATTGAATGCACACAAACAACTAAAGTGTGTGTGTGTGTGTGTTATGCCAGAGGGAATACTATTATTATAATCTGGTCAGCTCACACACACACACACACACACACATGCACACATATTGACAGACACTCAAGTGTCCACAAGCACCCTGTAAATCTAATTGAATTACGCATAAAAGGCGCTTAAACCAAAAGAAATGACGCTCGTGATGACCAGACCGAGAGATAGACAGGGAGAGAGAGGGAGAGGGAGAGGGGGAGGGGGAGGGGTAGAAGACGCCTATCCAATATGTATTATTTCCATTTAATTCCCTTATTATCCGACATTTTATAGCTACGCGTGGCCCAATCATAATCACAATTTCACATCAAGCCGCATTTCCGCAACAATTTATATATCGACATTAAACTGAGTAGAGGAGGGTGGAGAGGAGGGGGGAGAGAGGGGGGCAGAGGTAGTTAAGAGCGTGCAGAGCGGGGGCTGCAGTTTAAACTTATGCATGATTAATACATAATTACAAAGCCAAACACATAAACTCCAACTCAAAGAGGGAAGTGCGGGGAGGGGGGGGGGGGTGTAGGGGGGGGGGGTGCCTGGAGCTGGGGGCCGCATTTTAATGCCTGAGCCAACTAATAACATTTAAAAGACGACAAAAGACACACACACACAGAGAAGACAAAAGGCTGCGGGTTCCCACACACAGCACGTCCTGAATGACTACCGAGTGCCTCTGCCTCTGCCTCTGCTTGGGCCTCTGCTTGGGCCTCTCGGCCTGGCCAACTGCCTGCCTCTGCTTGGGCCTGGCCATCTATCGTGGTCATGGCTATAAGTATATGTATACATAGCTGTTATTAATATTTCGATTTGGTACTAGCGATTCGTAGAACTTGACACATGACTTGCATAACTAATCAGACAATAGTTGTGCCCTACACCTCACTCGCGCGGCATATCGCTTGGCTTTGGCCCAAAAGGTTGATTGATGATGACGAAACTTGACGACATCAATAGGAAATCAATGTGGTTAGTGCAGGATGTACACAAAGCACAGGCAGAGGTTCATTGAAGTGGAGGAGTGTGGGGGGGTATAGGTCTCTTATGTAACATGATATTTATGTTTATCATCATGTTGCATGATATTTACATTTATGTCGCTTAATATTATTTCAATTATTTAAATAAAAGAGCATACAATTTTTTTTTATGATTCCCTGTCTGAGTTCTGAGTATTACAAATAGGTTGTTAGTTAGTAAAAGAGGAAGTTAGAAGAAATATTACAGCTAAATATGATTAACCGGGTTCCGTCTTAGTATTGTCTGAGATTATGGTAATACTGAGAAAATGCTCTTCATAAAGCATAAATTTGTTCGTTGTATAAAGAATGTGTGAAGCTTCCAGATATACGTTAAATCGTTCTTATATTATCTCAGAGAAGTATTACAGCTAAATATGCTTAACGGGAGGATGAGGAAACTCGTTCCGTCTTAGTATTGTCTGAGATAATGGTCATAGTTGAATAAATCCATTCAAAAAGTTTAGTTTTCAGTTGTTAAGTTTAAATTTGTTCAGTATATATAGAATGTGCTTGGTATACATCCAATCTTTTGGTATTTTACCTAAAGATTTCGCAAAATCATTCACAATATTCCCAAATAGCCCAGATTCTAGTCAGAGTTTCGAAACCGGAAATTGTTCTACAGTTGACATTTTTTTTGTTCCAGCTCGATTTATTTTTGTCTTTCCTTAGGTCAATGTATCTTAAAGTTTCCAAATCTATTTCCTCGTGGAAATGCATATTTCTATGCATTACAAATATCAATACAAAATGTATTCTAATTAACGATGAGGTTTCTTTTTAATCACAATTTCCTGCTGCAACAATTTCCTGTAGGTGATTAGCCAGTCGCATTGACTGTAACAAAATTGAGCGTTGGGCATAATGACTATTAATGCGTGTGTAGGTCCGTTTGTGTATGTGTGTGTGTGTGTGTGTGTGTGTGTGTTTCGCTTAAGATATGAACACTTTAGTTCATTCATGGACACTTTCAGTGGCTTTGACAAACTGCTGCGGCATTGCGGTGCTTGCCAAGTGGGCAAATTGTTGAGGCTTAGGAGTTGGGCTTAGGTAGTCGTTCGGCTCTGACATATGAGGATGGAATGCAAGTGAAGTACGTGCAGTAAAAGCCATTTAAATGTGTATTTCTTATCTGACATTACAGATCGGGCCGTGGCGACATCAACCCAAACCCAAACCCAAAGCAGCTAATGCCAGCATACCTCAGCAGCAGCAGGAGAAGCAGGAGAAGCGACAGCAGCAGCAGGTGCAGTTGTTGCTGTACAGGAAACGCAGGACAAGAAAACAACGACAACAACGACAGCAGTGATAAAAACTGACAACGAATTATTAACGAGGAGCCGAGACAAGCGCAAGACAGATAGAAGCATGACGTCGTCGTCGTCGCTGCACAAAGCCGGAAATGTGATTATAGTTTTAGTTGGCCTGCAGCTAATGTGGCTAACATTGGCCGGCTGTCGGGATTTGCCATTGGGCAGCGATTACGGCAGCATGTCCGCCAGCGTCGAGGATGTGGACTTCATCGAGACGCAGGTCACCGAGCAGACAGCGCCGCATCCGCAACAGCGCACCAATCCGGAGGCTGGGCTCAACAGCAGCGAGGATAGCCGAGGGCCGGCTTCTGCTTCTGCTTCCGTTGTGGGCGCCGGCACTTTGCTGGAGGAGTTCAACGGCGGCAAGCTGAGCCCGGCGGAGGCCAGCAACACGCTGCCCATATTCCTCAGCGAGCCGGAGAGCGTTTTTGTGGTCAAGAATCGGCCGGCGGTGCTCAAGTGCAAGGCATCGCATGCCCTGCAGCTGCACTTCAAATGCAGCGGCAGTTCGCAGCCGCCGCCGTCGACGCACGACAAGCACGTGGATCCGCACACGGGCGTCCATATGGAGGAGGTCACTGCCACCATACATCGCGATCTTGTCGACGAATACTTTGGCAAGGGCCCATTCAAGTGCGAGTGCCAGGCGTGGTCGTCGCGCGGCGTGGTCAAAAGTCAAGCGGCCACGGTCCATATTGCATGTGAGTATTCAAAAGGTTGCCTCTTAGAGCTGAGCGTTTGTCGTGCTTTCAATCGTGCTCGTGTTTAGGTATTCATTTTCGTGCCTATCGCACCTTATCACGACCCATATATAGCCCATGAGGAAAATAGGGAACAACAATTGAGTAAAAGTGAAATAGAATATTATATTTAGAAGAATCTTTGTGACACGATCTAATGCGTGCTTAAACAATCAACATTATTAAAAGCTGACACGCGTCCATCTCTAGTTTTAACGAGAAAGAAGGGCTTGCCTCGGCACGCCGAAGATTTAATACCCTTGCAGATCGAACTTTTTCATAATGCTTGGGAAGAAGCAGTGGGAAAATAGTTAATGCAGAGTTTGGTCAAGATATCTTGAGAAACAAAAAAGATTTTCATACAAAAATCTTATTTTCGACCGATCGTTTCTATGGCAGCTATATGATATAGTTGTCCGATGTAAACAGTATTTTGCATAAAAGTAGGGAGCATAGTGAAACTAATAAATGCCGAATTTGGACAAGATATTTTGATAAACCAAAAAGTTTTCCATAGAACAACTTAATTTGCGACCGATCGTTCCTATGGCAGCTATATTATATAGTAGTCCGATGTTAATAGGATTTTGCATATATATGAGACGAATAGTAACACTAATAAATGCCGAGTTTGGTCAAAATATCTTGATAAACAAAAAAGTTTTTCATACAAGAACCTACTTTTCGACCGATCGTTCCTATGGCAGCTATATGATAAAGTGGTCCGATATTTACAAGATTTTGCTTATATATGAGGCGAATAGTAAAACTTATAAATGCCGTGTTTGGTCAAAATATCTTGATAAACAAAAAAGTTTTTCATACAAGAACCTACTTTTCGACCGATCTTTCCTATGGCAGCTATATGATATAGTGGTCCGATCCAGCTGGCTCCGACATATGTACTGTCTGCAACAAAAAGCGTGACTTCTGCAAAGTTTTATGACGATATATTTAAAACTGAGAGACATTTCGAGACAAAATTAAAATACCCTCTGCAAGGGTATAAATATGCCCACTGGCAGCAGCTGCGTCATGCACCCTACTCGTGTATACCCTACCCTACCCTACTCTAACCGCAATTTCACCCCATTGCAGACATTCGCAAGTCCTTTGGCCAGTCGCCCACCTCGCTGCGCCTGGAGCTGGGCAGCCGTGCGGAACTGCATTGCGAGCCGCCCGGCGGCTTCCCGGAGCCGAAGCTCAGCTGGCACAAGAACAATGCGCTTATAGCGGGCGACAGCGACACGACGGGCATCACTGTGAGCGGCAGTACGCTCACTTTCCGCCAGGTGGCGCTGCAGCATATGGCCAACTACAGCTGCAGCGCGGAGAATTTGGCCGGCAAACGTGTCTCCGATTCGGCTGTGCTCATTGTCTATGGTCAGTACACACACACACACACACACACGCACATATATTTGCGGTTTGTACACATATTTTGGAAACTCACAATACCCCTCTCTCTCCACCAGTAAATGGCGGCTGGAGCGCCTGGAGCCCGTGGCGCGAGTGCAAATGCAGCGGTAAACCGAGTCAGGGCCGCAAGCGTACGCGCACCTGCACCAGCCCGATGCCCTTGAATGGGGGCGCCCAATGCGCCGGCCCCCAGGTACAAAAGTCGGCGGACTGTGCCGCATGTCCAGGTATGCCCAAAAAGTGTTTCCTCTGGTTGCCCACAAATTTGTGGGCTTTGCCCGTTTTTCGGTGGGGGGATAACTTTTAAAGTGTAACCGAAATTGAAGTGCCAACAACGAAAATTGTCAATTTAAATGGCAGCTCAGCACAGCCTGTGGGAGTTGCCACCTGCGTCCCTGTGTGCCCGACCCACCCCCTCCCTCCTCCGGCAGCCCACAAATAAAGCCCGTCGAGTACGACGCACATTTTTCACACCCAGGCAACGAGCGGAGCTAACAGGGAGCCAAACACACAAAGCACTGCGCCGCAGAAAGTTCAAGAGGGCGTTCCAAAAAAAGAAACAACAAAATGCAGGAAAATGAGCAGAAATTGCCAAGGCCGAACTAGCTATACACTTACCTAATTGAAGGTTGAGTTGTGGGAGTAGCAAAAAGTAGCAAATATTTGAGATTAGTTGGATTTTTTACTTTCATTTAAAAGTTATCAAGATAAACATTAAAGAAGAAAGTTCTTGGGATTCAATATGATAAGCCAGATTAATTTCTACTGCAGTTAAAGGAATTTTGGGAGAAGGAGAAATTTTAAGTTACAGCCTTGTCATAGATAACATTATGGGATAATTTAAGTTTCAGCCACTTTCAAAGCCAATCTCAAAGCGAAAATGATTCAAGCAAAATGTTTAATATACTTTGATAATATTTCGGAGAAGGATAAATGCATTATTTCTTTATTTAATTAATCACTTAATTTGATCAGAAGTGGAAATAACTAGCAAATATTTTATGCAGTTGCGGCTGAGATTAGTTGCATTTTGTACTTTAATTAAAAAGGCAACAAGATATACTTTATAGAAGCAAATAGTTGGGCCAAGGGGCTTTTATAGCATAAGCCAGATTAACTACAGCTAAAGGAATTTTTGGCAGAAGAAGAAATTGTAAGTTTCAGCCACTTTTAAGCCAATCTCAAGGCATTATTTCTATCAGATTATTTTAATCAGATATTCCTTATATAGAAAAGTATCATATTAAAACCATTCGTACTCCACCAAAGACAAATCTCTTACAATCTAAAGTAAGAATTTTCTAGAATAATATAATTATGTCAAAATCTCGTCGCTAATTTGTTGACAAACCGTACAACATATTCGTGCTACCCATTTCTGGACCAGAAGTCCAATAAATTTTTGAGTGAGCGCCGAGTATTTCATTTTAAACACGCATTCGGCTGCGTCTGCTATTGTGAAGTAGCTGCCTTTTGAAACGACGACAGATATCTCCACAAGCACATCCAGATATATATCTGTATATATGGGATAGATTGGACGTGCACAGGAGGAGGGGGGGGGGGCGACCCCGCCGTTGGAACCGTTGGCACCGTTGGTCCCGGGGGCGTCTGCCGGCGGCATACCAGTCATCCAGCCGCTGACTAAATGGTGACAAAGGCATTCGAGGGGGGGGTGAGAAGAGAGCAGGGGGGATCAGGGGGAACACAACGTGATTTCGGTTTTGGCATTGGGCCTGCTGCAGGACCCGGGTCGAGCTGTGGGGGCGCTCGCTCGGCTCGCTTTTTGTGACAGACGCACGGGCGGCATGTGTTTGAGACTCTTCACTTTTATTCATGTAAATTTATTGTGTATTGCACATTGTATTGTAGTGCACACACACACACGCACGCACACAAAGAAAGTCTGGCACAGCGGGCACAGCAATGAGCAATTGTTGACAGACAAGCGGGGCAAATGGAGCTGGAGGGGGAGGGGGAAGGGGTGGGGTACACTTCAAGTGGGCGGCTGGGGGGTGAGGGGTGGGGTGGGTTGGTTGGTTGGGCCGCTTTTTCTATGAAAAGTGTGTCATAAAATTAATTTTAAATTTCGCTTCGGTTTCGCTTTTTTTTCTCTTCCTTTTTCGTTCCATCTTCAACTTGTGACTTTTTTCATCCCCATGGAATCGTGTCAACCTTATGGCGCTTCATCTGCCGCTGCTGCTTACCGTTGCCACGCCCACGCCCACGCCCGTGATTACGCTGACAACGACGACAACAACAGAGGACACTCAAATTGTGAGCGCTGATGGATTTGACATTTCGTCGAGTAAGCGCAGTAAGTTCCCAAAACGAAAGCCTGACAATGTGCATCTCATTCAGCAACAGAAAAAGTGAAGGAGCTGCAGCTGGGCTTAAAAATGGGGTTTCAATATGACATTGTGTTAAAGTTGAATGCTTAACGAGCCGAGCTCGAAATTGTTAGCTGGAATTGGTCTAGAGGGTTGGCGTTTTTTTTTTCGGGAGCTCGGTCGGTTACGCTTTACAATTCAATAAACAATTGTATTAAACTGTGCCGAAGGCAGCATCCGTAACCCGGCCCGGCTCCAACGAACCGTGGAGCGATTCATTCAAATACTCATTCACACATTCATTCATTCATTCAATCGCAAAGCTGTGAAGCTCTTGCCGGACTAACTGACTTAGTTCGGGTTGTCTCTTCCCCCATACCCCCTCCCCACTTCCTCCTAGAGCAAAGTGACGTCATTGTTGACGGCAACTTAAAAATCACTTACCACGATTTTCGCTGTCTGATTCATGCAACAGTCTGGCGACGACCCTTGAAGCGAGCAGCAGGGGCGAGCAGCAGGGTAGAGCAGCAGGATGCGTTAGCTGGAGTGGGCATGTCACTCACACACACACACACACCCGGACACACACACTCACATAATTTAACTGCTAGCCTAGGCAAAGTGATGATGGGGACGAGCAGAACTTGCCTTTCGACGGGGGTGGCTTTTGGGCACAGGAAGTGGCAAATGCCGATATATATATGAGTTTGGCATAGGCATATATCCAGGCCAGGCCCGGCCAGGCCGGGAAGAACCCCAAGACCCACAACATGCACATTTTGCGCTTTTTGTTTAGTTTTCGGACTTGGCGGAACCCCCCAACAAACAAAGCCAAAAAAATTGAAATAAACGAAGCAAAATGCGAAAATAGAAAAGCATTAAAATGACAATCACTTTTACTCGAGACAACGCAGAGGGAGTTTTTGCTTCTGCTCTTAAATATGCTGGGAACGAAATTTTTTTGTGTGAAGAGCTCCCCAGGGTTGCATTTAGTTTGGGTATAAAGGTGCCATAATTGCGGCGACGCATCTATTAGTTAAATGTAATGCGAGGCCCGCTTACAGCTCTATAAAGCAGAAATATCCCACGTTGGGCGCCATTTGATAAATGACTGCGGCCGCTGAAGCTGTCGGGAATGTGTGCTAAATCATGTTAATATGACTTTTGATTTCTAAACAGCTTGCCTCACTCTCCCTCTTCCTCTCTTCCCCCCTAGTTGCCCGCTGGTCGTCGTGGAGCGAGTGGAGCGTCTGCTCGGCGGAATGCATACAAGTGCGTCGCAGAAAATGCCTGACGCACGCCACAATTGCCGCTGATGTGGCAGATGAAGCCGGCGAGCTGCTGCTGCTGACTGCAGCACTCAGCTCAAGCAGCGATGGCGCCAGCAACGACAACAACAACAACAACAACGGAGGCGACGCTGATGGCTCAGGATATGGCAAATCATTGTGCGCCGGAAAAGACATACAAACGGCCGAATGCCGTGGAGAGCAATGCCAGATTGGCAAGGACGGTAAGTGTGTTTATGACAACAACAGACAACAGACAGGCAGTCGGGCGGTCGCTCGGTCTGTCGGTCGGTCGGCAACAAAGTAGACAGTTAGACAACAATAACAGTGACAGTGGGCACAACAGACACAGAATCCAGGAACCAGAAACGTGGCCCGAACGGGCCACACACAAAAGCCGAGCACTCAACGCTGATTGTCACAATGGGAAATTAACCAAGTGCATTTTGTTTGTGCATGTCCGCCCCCAACCACTGCTCTATAATATAAAAATGGTAAAATAAATCAACCACCCAGCCACTCAATCTGCACTTGTTTGCGCTAGCACAAATCACCGACTGCGTTAAGTATTTCCGAAAAAGGGTCGCAGCAAATCAATCGCAGTCCAATTTTCAGCTACCCCACGTTGGGCGCCCGAGCTAAGAATCTGCGCCCCATGTTTACCAGCTTTTTGCCAGATAATTAGGCAACGCAGCAAAGATGACGACAGCATAGAGTATCATTCAGCTGTAACGTCCAGACTAGCAACTCCTTCTCCCCAATCAATATACCCAACCACTTTGAAGCTTTCGACATGTCATTGTTGCTGCTGTTTGGTCTAGGATTTGCAATCAGGGAGGCGAGAAGTGCGTGTGCGTGTGCGATTTGCGATTGAACCCAACTCAAATATAGTTCCTTTTTTGGGGGTAGCCAGGGTCCATTGGGATCAATTATGCGACTGTCACAGTGTGTAATTGAAAGGATCAGCAGTGGCAAGTTCTGCAACGATTCAACACATCATTTTCGGTACATTTACGGGTTTCCTTTGGTTAATACCCTGGGCTTGGGCAAACAAGGGCTTAATGGACTTGGACAAATGTGTGCAACAGCCAGAAGAAAGCATCTCTCCGTACGAACATTCCGATTTAGGAGGTCTTAGGAATTGCAAGCACAACATTTTATATTCAGAGTGTCTGTCATATTCACAGTTAAGCTCTTAACATTGGGTGCTGGGTATATAGTCGAACAATTGCGACTAGACCAATCCGATTCGTTTTTTTCTGCATGTTATTTGATTGCTGTTGAAAAGTTTCTGCGAATGAAGAGTGACACTTTGTTGGTTTTGACTTGAGCCTTTGGCTTATTTTCCATTTTATTACATTTGCTGCGGCTCAGAGCGCCAGTTGGACCCCGGGCTAATATCCCTGGGGCTGCTGCTGCAACAGTTGTAGCCAAAGTCCTGAGGCTTTATTATGTGGCCATTGTGGCAACTGGCAATCCGGGGGGGGGCGTGGGATGGGCAAGTACTATACTCCCTCTAATCTCTTAGCATGACAAATACGCTTTTGATGTCGCAGGCAGGAGTCTAAAAAATGCAGAAAAAAACGAATGGAAAAGCGAAAGCGCAAGAAAAGTCTAAAAAGTCTGGGAGTCGGGGGGAGATCCATTCAAAGCGAAGGATGCTTCCGATGCTGCAAGCAGCGCTGTCGCTGATTTACAGCGAATATAATTGCTCATTTCATACATTGTATAATGCGTTCCGAGTGTGTGTGTGTGAGTGAGTGTGTGTGTGTGTAATAATCATAATATATATATACATATACAGTGGAGTAATTCCTTGCGCTGCAGCGATTCCTTTTGCGCCCGGCACAGCGCCAACCAGTCACCGCCAGCGCCACCAACAATGACGACAACAATCACAGCAACGGAAACAAGCCGAGCAACAATGGCGCAATGGGGCAAAGGGAAGGGGTGACGGGAGGCAGCAGGGGGTAGCGCACAATAATGCGAAATAGACGCCGGATTGTTGTCGGGGGAGCGAATTGAACAACCATGGACCGAGGGGGTCTGAGCATACAAACATAAAACATTAAATACAGACATATACAGGCCATAACAGAGAGAAGGAACAACCGAGCGAGCGGGCGACCGACAGACCGACAGACCGAGCGGACGACCGACAGACCGAGCGACGGATACGCATGGCTGCTTTGGATTGATGGCAACATTTTTGGATGCGACCGCGTTTGGTTTCTGTTTTGTTGGTTGACTCAACTTTTGCGTATGTTCTTTTTAATACAAAAGACAAAGATTGAGATTGGCAGTTGTAGGCAGAGTCTGGGTTTTGGTGCGGGGAATTTCACGCCGAGGCACATATTAAAAACCGAAAAATCAGCAGTTTTATTCAATCCTCCCCCCCTTTCTCTGCCTTTACAGACTTCGATTGGACATTGTACTTGGGCCTGGCGTTCATCACAGCCGTTTGCTTTGCCTTTGGCGCCGCGCTCATCTGCTGCGCCCGCCGCGGCATTCGCCACAATCCGCACTACAACATGGCCCGTTCAGGTGAGTCGACTTCGAGAATTGCGGCAATTGAATCTGTGCTGACACGTTTCCTGTTCCTCCCTTCGTTTTTTTGTTGCAGTTATGGACGCGGATTATATGCCCGGCGTTGTCGATAAGAAGGAGATGCGCATGCACATCGAGGCAGCCAATTTGGGATACGATTATGTCAATCCCGGACATCGTTATTTGCCCGGCGAGCACATCGTCGGCTGCGGCGGCGTCGGCGTTACGGAACATCACTACGATGTGCCCAACCTGGCGGCCAAGTAAGTTGCAAAAACTTCTACTCTAATCCCACAAAGCGGATTACTATTCGTTGGGCTTGAATTGCATTCGATAGCTGCGTACACTTTATGTGCCTTTAAGTATGCAAAGAGGCTTCGGAGCAGATGAAGAAGTCTCTACTCCAATTTGCGAGAGATGGAAAAGAACATTATATCATCGAATTTCGGTAGACCATTTAAGAATTATTCCTCAAGTGGAATTTTAGGAATAGACTCTTAATTTAAAAGATCCTTTGATAGTAAGCACATAAATCGAATAGCTCAGCCTGAGCCCTTGGTCTTAGACCCCAAATATTTAAGATCCTTTGATACTAAACACATTAGGTAAAAAGCTCATCCTGAGCCCTTGGTCTTGGTCTTAGACCCCGAATATTTAAGATCCTTTGATGCTAAGCACATAAATCGAACAGCTCAGCCTGATCCCTTGGTCGACTTCCGTCAGTTTTCTCTATAAATTAAAAAGGATCCTTCAACTAACTCTTCTCAATTCTCTCTCCCACCTCTCTTCCCTTTCTCTCCCCCCTACAGCTACACGAATCCCATAGATGACTTGAGCGCGGATTATCTATCCGAAACGGGCGACTCCTCCACAGCGGACACCTGTAAGTGACCCACCAAACCCAATCCCAATCACAGCTCATTCTCTCTCTCTCTCTCTCTCTCTCTTCCCCTCCTCCCCTTCGTAGCCAATTCCACGTTCGACATGAATGCCAAGCTGTCCATACTGAACGCCTCGAAGAGCAGCAGCTACGAGCTACTCGGCAGCAACGGCGGCCAGCTGCGGCTCTATAACGGCGAGCTGCTGCTCTTTGTCCCAGAGCTGGCCATTGGCAAGCACCTGAAGAAGCACGTCTCCCTCATGCTGCTGAGCGACGAGTGCAGTCGGATTGCCTGCGCCACGGAGAGCTCGCTGCTGTGCAGCAGCGTCGTGCATTGTGCGCCACGCAATTACGGCTTCATCAAGCCCGTGATACTAAGGATACCCCACTGTCTGCTGTCGCCGGAGCAATGGCATGTCCACATCTATCACGCGGACAGCGAGCAGGACGATCTGAATGTCAGCTGGCGGCGGGCCGTGTCTGTCGGCGAGGAGACAATAAATACGCCAATGTTTGTGCAGCTGGAGGCGACGGCCGTGTACATTATGACCGAGCAGCTGGGACACTTTGCCGTCGTCGCCGAGCCGCGCATCCAGCAGCCGGCGATCAAGATGAAGCTGCTCGCGTTCAGCCAACAGACGCCGCCCAGCAGCAGCAGCCTGCGCATCTATGTGGTCAAGGATTTTCCGAATAGCCGGGATATATGCGCCAATGTCGAGTGCAAGCTGGGCGGCAGCTATCTGGGCGAGAGTCAGGTCTTTGGCTTCGTGCTGAACAGCCTCAATCTGAATATACGAGTGCGAGATGCGGGAGATGGGCTATACGAACATGCGATACCCTATCAGCACATATTGAGCAACAATTCCATATTGCACTGCGAGTTCAGTGTGCGGCGCCAGGAGCAGCAGCAGCAGACGCTCTGCGTCGACTTTGGACAAGGGGAGGAGCAGCTCGATTTCTACACGTTCAGCATGCCCGGACTGGGACAGAGCCTGGGACTGGGTTCGGCGGAGGAGCTGGCCTCGACAACGAACACGACCATCTCGATAGATCGCCAGGGCAACTATGTGAACGAGAGCTGTGTGTTGGACTTTGTGCAGCTGCCGCATGTCACGAAGCGTTTGATATGCGCCGCCTTGGATCCGCCGCGTGCCGACGAACGCGATTGGCGGCTGTTGGCCAAGAAGCTGAGCACGGATCGTTATATTGCATACTTTGCCACCAAACCCTCGCCCACAGAACAGATACTCAATTTGTGGGAGTGTCGCGCGAATAGTGGGGCAGGGGGCGGGGCAGGGGGCATGGTCAGCGGCAGCGGCGGCATCTCTAACGGTAACAGTTCCAGTTCCAGTTGCATAATGTCGCTGCTGCTGACGCTCAAGGAGATGGGACGGCAGGATGTGCTGGACATCATAGTGGACACCATAGGACCGCTGTGGATTTAGGTCGCAGACTAAACAAAACATGTTCATGAGTTGCCTTTTATTTGAAAAATATTTAAAAACGAAGAGAAATTGAAACGAAACGGGAAACGAAACGAAATGGGAAACGAAACGAAACGAAATATGAAACTTGCTAAAAATGTAATCAAAGTCTAGGCATAGGGCATAGACATAGTCATAGTCATTTAGTCTGTACTAGTTACGTAGACTAAGCTAAAGATACTATATATATATTATATTTAGTATGTGTAGCTTGAACTTGGAACATTTGCTCAACGAACTCTGTTCCCCAATGGGTGCCATGCATTTTTGATACTACAACTAAAATACATTAAATATACACAAATATATACATACATATATTATATAGAATTAAATGTAAGTTTACGATTATGTTCAAGTTATTTGTGGCTTAGCAAACTTATAGTTTTAAACATTAGTTTGTAGTTTTTGCGTATATCGAATATATAGTAGGGGTATTCATTCAAACAAAGATACTTTAACTATAAAAAAATGTGCACCACCCCCCCCCCCCCCTCCCGTCACCCTCCCCCCATCTGCCAGATTCGGGCAGTTGAAAACTGTTTGCCAAATCGTTGAATTTACTCTCAACCGACTCTAGTTACCGTAGCATACCTATATACACTCACACATACACACATTTACATATATACACACATACATACATATATAGAAAGCATATAGAATGTAGTGGAGGAAACATTAAGAGAAAACGAGTAGCTTGTTAGACATACTCAAGTGATAACCTTTGTATTTGTCTCTAGTTCATAAGTTAACAACTGTCGTTTCAGAAAATCGTTAATCAAACAAGAAAACAAGAAAACAAGATCAACATCATTGAGAATATTTCAACAATAATAACGAATATTTAATGGCCCAATGAATAAAAGCATACAATTTAGTCCTATATGCAAAACATAAAAGAGAACAAAAACTGTAGTTTAAACATTCGAACTAAATCGAATACAAATTGAAGACAAGTTCCCAGTTTTGATTGATTTTTTTTTTGTATGACATGATGTAGTTTTTATGTATGATTTTATAAAATGACAAAACAGCAGAAAAAAATGCAATTGAATAAAGACGTTACTTACTGTAAAAAATATACAATCTCTCACTTATTATGAATATATAAAAAAAATCCAAGCTAAGTTTGAATGCCGCGCATTTTAAAATGGAAATTCAACAGTTTAGTGTGAAACTTAGCTATTGGGTAACGAGCTGTGCTAGCTACATCTCAGCAAAGTTTCACACCACACGGCAGGAACAGCCAACGAGGTGTGAGTTATGCTCACCACATCTCACCAAAAGGCAGACACAGCCAACGAAGTGTGTGTCATGCTCACCACCTTTTAGCAAAGTTACACACCAAAAGGCAGGCACAGCCAACGAGGTGTGATTCATATTCACCACTAAGCAACCGAAACATTGGGGCGCCACTGTGTTGCTTAAGCAAAAGCGTTGCCAACTTGTCTGTCGATAACGATAACATTTTGTTCTGTGCGTTGTTATCGTTTTACATTGGGCGGCAAATATCTCTATTTGAATTCCATTTGAAAAATAGAAAATTGAGGCAAAAAATATTATAATTATATAAAATAAATAAAATTCAAAAAATTTACGAACAAAAACTCAATTGCAAAGGTAAATAATGTATGTATGAATATTTGTAAATATGTATTAAAGTGTAAAATGGAGAAAATAGTTAATTAGCTTGGCTTTTGTTTATAAATCTCAACACGATGAACCTGTTAAGCGGCAATTGATACCCGCAGCTGTCAAAAAATATGTGGCAAGTATGCCATAGCAACGACACTTGCAACATTTTCTGCAGATGCCGCACGCCAATTGGCCAATTGGTAATCAAACAAAATTAAGATACAATTATTAGTTTAAGCAATCAGTAATAACAGCAACTGCAACAACGCGAGTCTCGGGCACACAAAAGCATTTTAACAAGCCCACAAATAACAAATCAATAATTTCATGCAACTGCCACAAAATGATTGCTGCAGTTGTTGCTGTTGCTGCTGCTGCATTTGGCGGCGCCTTTTATATCGGCAACAGCATCCGAACGTATAAATAAATTTAAACGATTTGGGGCTTTTCTTGCTGGCAGCGGCAAATAGAAATCTACGAAGCAAAAAGCGTGCAATCGATGGCTGCTCCAAGGCAAAAAAAATTGACTCCTGCCTGGTTGTTGCCACAGCCACAGCGACTGCGACGCCGGCAGCGACTGCAGCAGCGACTGCGACTGCTGTCATCGTCAATTAGTTTTCTCACCGCAGACATAACAATATATTTTATGTATCGCTCGATTGTTGCCGCGCTTCGCATCCTTGACCATTGCCTCGGTTCGCTCTCTGTTTCTGTTTTTTGCATTTTTCCGCCGAAAGGGCCAACAGCAGCCGCAGTCGAAAAATTTCCTAATTGGGTCGAAATTCCAATCTAACAACGATTTCAAATCGCCTTCTTGACAATTTCGCGGCTGCTGTTTTTGGCCATTTGCTGCTGCTGCTGCTGCTGCTGCCAACTTATTTTGACAGCCATAAAATTGTGCGACCCGATAAGGTTGTTCTTGTTGTTTGTTGTTGTTGCTGGTTGTTGTTGTTGTTGTTGCAGCTGCCAGGTGCAATATGACGATTTGGTCTGTGTTGCGCGCTTTTGTGCGCGTTCCTCTTGCTTACTTCTTATTATTAAAGGACATTCAAAAGTGGTAAAAAAAAAAGGGCAGCAGACATTGCAGTTAATATGAAGCAAGTACAGTGAAAGCTCACTTGGGCGAACAACGAACGGCGGTCAAGATTGGTCTGGTTCGTTTTTTTTAATGTTCTCTTAGTTTTGCCAAAAATCGGCCATCAATATCGGCTATAACAGGACAGGTAGGGTAAATATAGAAGTCACGCCTTCTTAAATGGACAAAGTTTAAGATCTGATTTGAATAGAACATTTCGTTAGAAGAGTTTTCACTGTACTTCCCAAATTGTCTGTTTGAGCGTTTTGAACCCAGAGACAACTCACTTGTTTCTTCTTTCTCACTTCTTTCAACGTAATCGATAAATATCGAACTATCGAAATTCTATTTATTATAAGAATTATCCACAAACATAGTTTCTTGTTAATTTCAATATTTCGAAAATTTCGTTACGTGCAACATTCATCGATAATTATCGTATGTCAAGCTCAGATAAGATTTATTTAAATTCGCAACCGAAACCTTGTTCCAATGTAATCGATAAATATCGATTTCCTTTTCTACTTTTCTTTTCCTTTTTTATTGGGTTTATTGAACCTTGTTCTAACACTATCGATAAATATCGATTTTCTTATAATTCTCATATATAAGAGTTAGCCACAAGCTAATTTCAAGTTTTCAAAAATATGCTTTAGAGCAACACTTATCGATAATTATCGGTTTTAGATTCCGTATTCAGCTTCTCGTAAACCAAGCTCAGATTTGGTTTATTGAACTTTGTTCCAGCACTATCGATAAATATCGATTATTGTTAGTTCGAGCAGATTAAATATTTTGAAATTTTAAAACACTTTAGTTAATATATTTAGCCAATTTCGCGTTTAGGACAATCTCACCTGATTCAAAGGTATATTAGGGGTATTCCCTAGTTGGGGGCAGTTTCTACTTGAACACTCGTCTTTGCTTATTATTTATTTAATATTTTTCAATAAACTCAAGACCTGCACAAATATGCCAGGAACGGAAATGTCCGCTAAAACACACACACACACACACACACACACATATACACACAATACACACACAATACACACTCGAAGTAATGAGCAAATACCGAAAGCCAAAGGCGGAAGTTGACACGACAGCTGGCAACAATCAAAGCTGCAACACGCACAGCACACACACACACAGCACACACACACACACACATATACACACACGTGTATAGAGAGAGAGAGAGAGCTTTGATTGGAATTTCGTGTTCTATCACTTAGCCAACTGGCAATCTGTTTGAAATGCCAACGAACTATCGATGTCAGTTGGCAATTTCGCGTTTTTGCATGCCACAAAAATCTCGAAGTCTGTAATTTTTTTTTTGGTTTGGCAAAGCGAACCCTTTGATTAAAAATACGTTTGCCAATAATTGCGCAGCAGCTGCCATTTTGGATTTGTCTGTGGCAAAGTAAAGGAGAAGCAGAAAAAAAGGCGGGCGTGAAACATGAATTATGCGGCAGCAAAGGCAACTTGTGGCACGGTTGATCGCGAGGCGTCGAAAGCGCTGGATAAGCCGCACAAACACAAAACAATACAAAATGCTTCAAAGCAGCAGCAGCCAAAAACAAAAGCAACAACAACAACAACAAGTAGTTGGCTGCAACATGTGCCATGTCCAGACCTCAGTCCGTGCCACGCCGGACAATGGACAAGCTACGAGCCGCAGCTGAAGCTGAAGCTGCTGCTGCTGCAGACAGCTTGCAGTTGTATTACGAATTTATCTACCTGAGCAGCAACCATCGTCAATCGTCCATCGAGATGGTTGTTGTTGTTGCTGTTGCCGTTTTGGGTTCCCAAAGGAGCAGCTACATAATGGCCACCGCACGTCAACGGGCTGCCGTTGCCAGTTGCCAGTTGCCAGTTGCCACTGTGTGCTGCAACTTGCACAGCCCAACCGCCAAACGGGCCAACAATGTTTTGCCGTTTTCGCTGGAAAACAACCAAGAACCTTGCAGTCGCCGGGCAACGACTGCGCCATACTCAGTTCGCACGAAAACTCTCTCAAAATTCCTCTCGCTTCGCTCTAGTTATCAAACAGGAGAACTGTGTCTATTAGCTTAATTCCACTGTCAACATTTCGTACATTTTGTTTGCGAATGTGAAATATGTTGCCTGTACGTTTTCCTATAAGAAGTCACATTTTTCACATTTCCAAAAAATTTTATATGCCCAATTCCACTGTCAACATTTCTTACATTTTGTTTGCGAATGTGAAATATGTTGCCTGTAGCTTTCCCATAAGAAAACATATTTTTCACATTTCCAACAAATGTAATATTTCAATAGCCTAAAAGTGTTTGCAAATGTGAAATATGTTGCCTCTACGTTTTTGTACCTTACACATTTGTCACATTTGCAAAAAATGTGACATTTTCAATAGCCCAATTCCACTGTCAACATTTCTAAAATTTTTTTTGCGAATGTGAAATATGTTGCCTGTACGTTTGCCCATAGGAAAACACATTTTTCACACTTGCCAAAAAATGTTGGCATTTTCAATTGCCTAACTCTACTGTCAACATTTTTTACATTCTTTTGAGAATGTCACATTTTGTTCTAATGTGAAAACAATAGGTCTGTAAAAAAAAACACGTTATTCACATTTGCTAAAAATGTGTGTTTTTTTTCGATGAATTCTCAAATTTCATTTCGCATGTTATGAAAAATATAAAAGTATCAATACCACAAACAGC